CGCTGCGCTGTGCCGATCAGCTATGAGTTCATCAGTGTAGGGTAAATTGAGGCAGTCCATGGTATCTTGCTGAGAACTGACAAACTCAAATCTGAAAGGATCAGGCCAAGCCTGAGAAGTATACAGTACAGCAGTTACTATGACCCTGGTTGCCCTGGCAACCACATTCCAAAAGGGCCTCACTTTGATAAGGCCGGTACCAAACAACCAAACAACCGCGCGAGATTGTTTTTCATGGCCTGCTTTGTTTCTAGAAAATAAGCTTGGATCCCAAAGATTGCGCCAAGGCAATACCACCCCCACAGGAGACGCATTAGTTTTCCAGCCGACAAAATAACCATCAACATGTCTTTGTTTATGTTGGCTTATTTAGCTTGTTAGGAATAACTATCTGTATTAGTGATAACATGTTAAATTGGCAATGGGCGGAGATGCTGTGTAACTGTTGTAGACCATTGGCTTATGTGCATATCTCACTTCCGCTGTTAGACCTATCAAATCACTTCTCCTCCGTCCATCTGCTACCTATATAATCTAATGTATGTTTTGGTTAAGTTAGTGCTCACCGGGTTAACCCCTGATGAGTACTCCACCAGCTGTGTGAACCAATAAATCCTCTGCTTGTTTTCACCTGCACCAAGTGTGTCCAAGAATTATTCCCAACAATCAGAATGTTTCTGAAAGTGTGCAAGCTTGTTCAGAGATGACTAAAACACTGTATCAGGTGGCATTAAAACTTAGTTCATCTAATCATTTCTCTTTTATTACAACTACGTGAAGGATGCAAACACTGATTTGAATAATATGAGTAATAATAAATAATAATCATACTTCTGGTAGGAATATTAATAATATTTAGCACTAGAGAAGAGCCTAAGCTAAAGATGTACATTAGAATGCATCAGCTTTTGTGTGGTTCAGAACTTTAACCTTATTCAAATTTCCTTCCTGACCAAATCAAGCCAAAATTCCTTGTCTAAACACATCTAGCTCTAAACAGTTGTAAAAAACTGGTCAAAAGGTTTTGTTTGAGAAAAAAAATTGAAAAACTGCTTTCTTCTGTTAAAACAGTTATCTCCATGGGAAATGTCTGTGATGACCAAAAGAAAAGATAATGAGGGTCTGCTGAAAATTCGCAAAATGAAAAATTGTGCAACAAAACTGGAAAAAAATTCAGCAAATCAAGTGAAAGTTTTCAGTAAAACTAAATTTTTTTTCTGACTGGCCAAAATATTTTCTGGTCTCAACAGCCAATATTAAAAAAAATTGGGGACTTTTGACAAAAATTTGAAAAATGTCAGTATAAACCCCCAGAATTTGTGTGTGTTGTGAGAGAATATAAAACTAAATCTTGCTGTTTGGGTCCATCCCTGGTTGGTAATTATACAGCAGGTAATTGCTAAGTGGTAATAATAAGTGCTAATTAACAACTAGCCCAATCCTTTGCTCAGCTCTTGCTCCTACTAAGCCATCACAACTAACAAATTAATAATAAACATTTAAACCCATTTAGGGCCCAATCCCACAAGTCTTTGGGTGCCTTCTACAAAGGTACAGTAATGGCCTGACAGTAATGACAGCTGCTCAGCACATCCCAGGATCAGGCACTCAAATGCATATTTACAAGATAAATCCAGTTAAGTGGTAATTATTATGATTTTTAAAGCATCTGAGGCTGACATATGCTGAGCAGCTGCTGTATGGTGCTAAGCCCCCTCTACTCTGATGGACTAAAATGAGAGTTGAAGACATGCAGAATCCTATATGCCTATTTACATGTTGGACTATGATGTCTCCTGTGGCAAGGTTTTAGCCAGACCTATATTCCTGAAGAATTGTTTGTCTTTATTTAAGGAAAAGATCCAAAGCCTACAGAAGAAATTTCCATCCAGAGCCTTTCTCAAAGCAGAACGGCTGACCTCATGTAACAACGATGCTCACCAAAATCCAGGTGGCTTGGGTGCTGCTTAGATGGCTACTGTCCATCACCAACAAATGCTTGATAATAGCCATAAGAGCAAAAACAGCACACATAGCACTACGACACCAACCATGTGCCAGCATTAGTCATCCCGTGATTTACTGGGTCTTATTAAGATGTAAGGGTTGCTTTTGTTCTCTTGCTTCAGAAGGGAATGTTTTCAAACCAGCTTTCTGCATCTGATTCAAAGGATGCAGCAACATTTACTTTTACTGAGAGTAACCCTGAACTCTGGGGGCATTTGAAACCCAGGCTTGGCTCTATATCTGAATTTTGCAACTGTCCCCTCTCTTTCTAACATGTCAAACCAAAAATCCAGACCCAAAGCCTGGTGCATTTATTTTAGGATTGGGAACGAGGAACACTGAAATTGGTATCAAGAACCTCATTTTGCAGCTTGAGCCCATCTCTCTTTCTGACCCCCAAGGTTCAGCATGACTGTTCCTCCACAGCTGTAGACTCTACTTCCTATTCAAAGACAGGGGGTTCTTCCCAGAGAGAGATCTCCAAGCATAGCCAATCCCTGCTTTATGTGGCCACCCAAGGTCCCCTCCTTCACAGGTCCACCCATGTGCCAGCCCCACACTAGAAGTGATGCTGCATACCCAATGTCTCTTCCACCTGATCCTTTCTGTCACCTGCTACCAGGGATGCTGGAACTAAGGGTATAGGGAGCACAGCAGAGCCCTCAGGCTTGGAGTGGTTTCCGCATTATACAAGGGTTTCAGTTTTGTTCAATGGCTTTCAGCCCCCCCACTATACCAATTGTTCCAATGCCACTACTGGCTGCATTACCTCCCAGCTGCTGTAGACAATAGGAGGGATGCTCCTATTACATGATCATGTAAATGCAGCTAGCGATTGACTGTCACATTTAATAAATCAAAATCAATCACAAATTCTGCCCTTCTCCATCATCCTGAGCTCTAGGAAGAAAAGGGTTAAGTGACCTCTTGCTAAGACCACGATATGGACAATATTATGAATTCAATGGCAACAAAATCCATTCCACATTAATATTGATGGGGCATCATTTCAAATAAACAAACAGCAAGCAATAAGAGCTGAATGTTGAGCCCTGGGACCACATTCTTGGCTTTTTGACGTTATGAAGCCTCCGTGTTCTGGCAACAAGTCTGAATGTGGAATTCCAGCAGAATTACGTATTAAATCCACAGGAATACAAAGAGAGATCACCATGAAGGGTGTTATTATACTGAATACCAAAGGAATTAGGAACGACTGGCCACTTGGGGTAAAGCTTTGTCATCTGGATAAATATTTGATTTTGGCTGCTAAAGAAAGGATACTTTTGTTTCACTCCAGTTCACAGCAGTTATAAACCAAAAAAAATGTGCTCAACCTTTTAAGTGTGAAGGAACTAAGACTTCTGACTTAATTTTGAACTCATTTGCACTGATGGGAATCAGCAATGACTGGTGGAAGTTTTGGATCAAGCCCCTTATTTTGAAAGTGTGGATGGACTCAAGTTGGAGCTAAAACTAAACTCGTCCAGGTTTGGGGATGTTCACATTGAGAAGTCGGGTTCAGCTTCGGAAGAGGCATTCAGATTCAGAGTCACTTTTACAGAGTTCAAGGGAGGAGGCCTGGAACTGGATTTTTGTCTCTGACCCTTTTCTAGATTAAAATATATTTCGTTTTAAGAAGATCTCTTTTTAACGTAAACCCTGGAGAGAATTCTCGGTCATGCCAGCATAAGGCTATGATAGTTACTCCTATCCAAATTATAGCGATATATATACCAGTTACATAAATTCACTCCTAGCACATACAAATATACAGTGACAGAAAATAATAATCCTTACATAAATCCCAGTAATATTGGGATGTTTTGTTAATGTCTAAAATTGGGTGGAGATCTTTGGATAAAAAGCCTGGTGTTGTCAAAATGTATGACTCTGTTCATTATGAAATGGGAAAAAGCATGGGTGGTCAGTAATATAGGCAAGTGAAGGCACAGTCTTCCCAAAACTGCCTACATAACCCAACCATCCGGGGCCATGGCACACCAACCCTGCTCCCTGGCCACCAGGGAGGGCTGGGGCTGAGCCCAAGTCCACAGCATGGCAGTCGTGGCCCTCCACGTGGCCAAGGAATATCAGGCTGGGGAGGGCGGGCTTGGCTCCAGGGGCAGGGCCTTGGGTGGAAGGAGCAGCGCTGGGGCAGGGTTGAGGCTTGCGTTCCCCAGCTGGGCCTTCAATGGCCACCCATGGGAAAAAGCCATCTATCAGAAATCTTTTCCCCACTTATAGAAAATGATCAAGTCAGTTCTTAACCTTCTTTTGTGTAAACTAAATAGATTGACAAGTATCAGAGGTAACCATGTTATTCTGTATCTGCAAAACCAACAAGCTGGCACCTCAGAGACTAACAGATTTATTTGAGCATAAACTTTCATGGGCAAAACCCCACTTCATTAGTCTTTAAGGTGCCACAGGACTCCTTGTTGTTTTTAAATAGATTGACCTGCTTTGGACTGTTACTATAACTGAAAGCATGTTTTGCAGAACTCAAAGCATTCTTGTTCTTCTTTTCTGAACTCTTTCAAGTTTCTGAACATCCTTTTCAAAGTGTGGACACCAGAACAATGTTCCAGACGTGGTCTCACTAATGCTGTAGAGATTGATTTGTCCACTCCCTGCCTGTCAGCCTCTGAATGACTGTTCTTTATAAATGCTGATGAAATCTGAACACACTGAAGACTTGGGCAGCATGTTCTCCTTCTGGAGGCCCATCACTAATAAGAGATCAGGATCTGTCCCTGGTGGGAATGCCCTATGACTGGCTCATTCTGTTCTGTCAGAAACACCCTTGAGTTTAGTATTTGAAACCTAAACTCTATGAATATAGGGCCAGAGATTCCCAAGTGGTATAAATAAGTGTTGTTCTATTGACTTTAATGGAGATATCCTAATGTATATCAGCTGAAGAAAAAAATCTAAATTCCTTTCTATGGAGTGAAACGATACAATAAAACATTAAAACATCAAACACTTACTCATAATTGCCTTTTTTGGATGCTATATGAAGCGGTAATAACCCATCCTTATTGGTTTTGTTAGCATCTGCACCTTGGGACAAGAGAAACTCCACCACCATTTCATGTCCATTTTTACAGGCTTCATAAAGTGCAGAGGCACTGTCGCTAGCTTGGGTGTTGATATCAGCACCTACGAGAAAGAAAACCATTGAAGATCTAAATGACTAGATTCGGGCGTAACATATTTTAGATTAACAAGCAGAAGTCTCTAAGGTTTCATCTAAAATGCTGCCAGTAAGGTAAACTCAGTGCTCATATTTCCCTAGCACCATTTGCTGATGTGGGGTGAGAGTGAATACAGGGTGATAAAAGAACAGCTGGTGTCTTCTTAAATGTGTTTTTGCTATATAAGGTAAATGTTCTCCCCAGTGCTGAGGGACTGAGTGTAACATCCTGGGGCCATCCAATCCACTGAGGACCATGTTGTCTAAAAATGGTAATACACTACAAAGGAAGAGCAGTTAAACAGCAATACCTATAGGATAATACCCACAAAGGGTGTCTACAGTTAGACCCTGGCCACAAGTCTAGCCCTATCATCCCTATTTTCTTTACCACATTTAAATGTGGTTGAGGAGAAATCATGTTAGAACACATACTTTTCTTACCTCTGTGGACAGAAAAAAGCTCATGTTATATAACTATGTTGGAGACCCATGTTTTAATCCTTGTACATTCACAGGCTAAAAGATGATTCTGCAACACAGTAGGGTTTTTACACTGATTTTGGCATTATTTGACTAATGCTAGTCAATACATGGCTTAGTGTGTGCACCACTAAAAATAAACCGTTCTAAAATATTGCTGGACCACAGCTGTGTTGAAATGTAGCTATTTCTGTGGCACAGAGTATCTGAAAAATTGTGTCAACTTCCAAACCTGGGCTTTCATTATTATACACATTGCCACTCTGACTTCAGGCTGAATGAGCTATGTGTGTCCTAAAAGAGAATTACAACCCACTAGTTTTCTGCTTCCAAATTCTGATAAGGAAAAGAAATGCACAGCCAATCAGTCTTTTGTTTGATCATGAAAACTCCCTGCAAAGAGAACATTTTCCCTCAGCTGAAACATCTGTGTTTTGTTTGGCAATTTAAAGATACTGTAGCTAGAAACACCAGGAGAATTTGAATGACAAAACACAACACAGGGCTACTTTCTTAATGAGAAATAAATTAAACCTTTCTATTTTATTTATGGCAAACATTGCTTATTGTAAAAATATAATTATGTTATTACTAAGATTCTCAGCAGGTCTTCTGTGGCTTGGAAAAATTGGACAGTTTTATTGGACTTTTCTCAAAATTGAACTTTAAGGAAATACTAACTATGTAATTGAATTGAACCATAAATCATATTCAAATCAGAGTTTAAAATCATGATGGAGTGACTGATTGGTTTTCAATGTCATATAAATCTGGCTTGTGAAAAATGTGATCTGGAAATCCAGCAATACTTTTTGCTCCATAACAGTCATAACTGTAATCTATATTTTTACAACTAGATGTATTTCTTTTGAGGTTTTTCTATTCTTCAGTGCTGTTTCGCTCTTATTTCATCAATATAAATCTATATGCTGGGCAGCCACAAGGTTCGGTTTACATGCTTCATGAAGTGGTAGAAATATGCTTTGAAACCCTTCCCTACCACCAACACCGATAAACTTATTTAGTGCTGTTCAGCTGCATAGTGATTTACAAACACCTCCTCGTTTATCCTCCTGGTACTCTTATGAAATGGGAATAGTGACTACTGGGGTCACTTCACACTTTACCCCTTCTGTAAAATGGGGATAATGAGAATGAGATGACCAGCCCCAATGCAGGAACCTAAGTGCAGAAGGTACAAGAAGCCTCCTTCCCTCTGTACCACTTGCTAAAGGGTTGGGACAAAAATCACATAGATTTCAAGAACTGATCCTGCACAAGCCACTCAAAAAGGGGTGCAGAAGGGGGGAACCAGGCTACGGTCCCTCCTACCATTTCCTCAGCCAACAGATCTGGCTGTCCGAGCAAAAGAGTGTATACTCTTAGGCTACGTCTAGACTGGCCCCTTCTCCGGAAGAGGCATGCAAAGCAGGCAAGTCAGAATAGGGAAATCCGCGGGGGATTTAAATATCCCCCGCGGGATTTAAATAAACATGGCCGCTGCTTTTTTTCCGGCTTTTCCCCAAGTAGGAATAAGAGATCCTCCGGAAAAGGGCTTTATTCCGGAGGATCGCGCCAGTCTAGACGCTCTTTTCCGGCTTTTCCCCAAGCCGGAAAAAAGTAGCCTTACAGATAGACTGTACTGCACTTTCTCTGCATGATGCAGAGCTCTAGGAGGCTTTGTGTCCCCCATTTCTCCCACTGGAGTCCTCCACAACTTCTACTCGGGGCTCTAGCTAAAAGTTACTATATAGAGAGCCTCCGTGAACTATCCTATGCTACAAGAGGGAGCCCCTCAAGCATAGAAATACAGTGCTTCTTGAGTATCTTCCTTGTGACCTTCTGAGAGACAAGGAGAGTGAAGCAATATCTTTTTTTTTTCAGAAGTTGGTCCAATAAAGGATATTACCTCACCCACTTCGTCGCTGTAATATTCTGACATAGCGAAAACAGCACAGCATACTGTGAAATTTCAACACTATGGGAAACAGGATACGGTGATACAATATTTGCCCGAGGCCTAGCTTACTGAATGTTCGTGAGCAGATTCTGTTTGGCTAACATTGTACCCTAACCTTACTCCTATCTTTCCCTGTATGTGAGCTTTTCTTCTGTAACTAGATTTTTAGGATACACATATACAGTGACAGTAATGAAAGCCTTTGGCTACATCTAGACTGGCATGATTTTCCGCAAATGCTTTCAATGGAAAAGTTTTCCGTTAAAAGCATTTTCGGAACAGAGCATCTAGATTGGCACGGATGCTTTTCCGCAAAAGCACTTTTTGCGGAAAAGCGTCTGTGCCAATCTAGACGCGCTTTTGCTCAAAAAAGCCCCGATCGCCATTTTCATGATCGGGGCTTTTTTGCACAAAACAAATCTGAGCTGTCTACACAGGCCCTTTTGCGCAAAATGCACTGATTTCTTACATGAGATCGTCAGTGTTCTTGCGGAAATTCAAGCGGCCAGTGTAGACAGCTGGCAAGTTTTTCTGCAAAAGCACATGCTTTTGCGGAAAAACTTGCCAGTCTAGACACAGCCTTTGTGTGCTCATTACCACACAAACTAAGGGCACCAAATTGCTTCTAACTTGGGTGTCCACTGATGCTGAAGGAGCACAATCATTCTACACCTTTATTCTAATCAGCAATACCCTCTGCTTCAGGCCCTTCTGACTTATGTTGGACTGTTCTTGCTGGAAGCTTCCATGGGAGCACCAAGTGTTCACCAGCTCTGAAAACGAGGCCTCATTTCCTCTTGTCTACTGACAAACTGAGCCATCCAAAATGAGTGGATACTTTTGAATAGTTAGGCCATAACATATATGCAAATGTACGGTACCCCTGTACTCACCACACTTAGCAAGGTACCGCAAAGCATCTAACTGCCCACTCTCGGCAGCCACAAATAAAGAGGTGATCCCATATGTATTCTTGCTTTCAATCTTGGCTCCCCCTTTCACCAGAATATCGATTATTTCTATGTCATTGCGAGAGACGGCCTCGTGGAGAGCAGTCCATCCCCGATTGCACCGGTGGTTTGCGTCAGCATTGTACTGCACCAGCATCTTTACAGCTTCGACGTTTTTGCGTTCACAGGCTGTTTCAACAAAAGGCAGGTCATTGAGGCCAAACTTTTTAAGAGATCTCTAACTCAGGGTGCCTGAGTTCTGCACTCAGAACCTGAGGTATCTAGAATCACAGGCAGCAAACGCAGGCACTGGCTTTTTCCTTGCCCCAAGGATGTTCAAGACCAGCTCTGCCGCATCCTCACCTCCACACTGTTCCTTCCCCCAGGCCTCTAACCCTGCTTTGCCTGTTTCTATGCTACTCTCTCCTGCCTTGGTTCTTCCTGCCTACTTCCATCCTCTCCCCAGATCGCACCCCATCCCCTCTCTTCCACCTCCCTCCCAGGGCCTCTGGCACACTTTGGAACAGCTGATCCATGGTGTATGGCGGTGCTGGGAGGAAGGGGGATGAGTTGAGTAGCGGTGCCACCAGCTAGCCAGAGACACCGGGAGTAAGGAGAAGGTGGCTGCTGGTGAAGTATTGTACCTCTTTTATATTTACTGAAAAGCGAAAGAGCTCCTTTAAATCTAGTAGCTTATTTTGGACCAGATTTTCAAAATCAGGTGTTTCAAGTTGGGTGTTCATAAATCCAGGCATTCAAAGATAATGGCCACTTTTAAAAATGTGGGCCTATATATTTAAACCTAGCCAGAGCACTAGGAAGAGTACCATGGGCCCTAGATAGAGAACTAGAAAGAGTACTGTGGGGAACCATCCATTGACAGGGATGATCTAAGACAGGAGTGTGCAATAATTTTTTATGGGGGGCCATGCCAGTATTTTGGAAAGTGGTCAGGGACCACTCTTCCATGATATTAATGGTGGAGATGCAGGGCCTGGGATGGAGGTTGGATGTAAAAGGGAGCTTAGGGTAAGGGACAGGGTTGAGGAGGGAGACTGGAGTCTGGGAGGGAGTTGGGATGAAGCAGGCAGTTGTGACCTAGGGCAGGGGACTGGAGTGCAGGGTTTGGGATGTGACCTAGAGTAGAAGGGAATTGTGATCTGGGGCAGGAGATATCTGGAAGGGGGTATGGGTGTAAGAGGGGGACAGGACAGAGGGTTTTGTGTATATTGAGTGGGGGTTGGAGCAGGGAGGGGCTGGGGTGCCAGAAGCAGGCTGTGGCCAAGAGACTTACCTGCCAGCTGCCAACCTAGCCTGCCTACCTGCAGAGCTAAGGCTTGCAGAGCTTAAAACATTTCCCAGTCAGCCAACCTGCCTGCTTGCCTAGCCATGAATAACTGAGCCAAGGAGATGGGGGAGGGTGCATCTTGACTGCCTGTTATTCCAAAAAGCAGCTCCCACTAGCTGGTTTCTGGACAGTTTTCTGGACAGAAACCAGCCAATGGGATTGTGCTGGGGGCGAGGCAGTGACTGAAACTTTCCCCCTCCCCTCCAGTTTTAAAACAGAAATGGAGCCCTACAGCTGCGTTTCTACACAGCATGTGGGGCTGTGGGACAAGAAAGGGAGCCTGCCTCTGGGAGGCCAGATCTGGTGGCTTGGGGGGCTGTATTTTGCCCAGCCATTATCTAAAAGATCTTTTCCTTCTCCAAATTCTGATTCCATGGATTTTGTGTGGTCTTGCTGAATCAAGTGTTCTCCACACAAAGAAACAATGTAGCATATTCGGGATACCTTATAACTTTTTTGCATATCAGTATACACCTGTTGTGATAACTCCTGTACATTTGTGCCTGTGCCCACACTAAAAGTGAATGACTGACATGTTCTCAGTTATTTTTGCTCTGATATCCAATAGGTATTCAGAATATTTTATTTAAAAAGACACATACAAACTCACAGAGAAACAACATGGGCTTCACCTTTCGTGGTGCTGAGCACCTGCCACTCCAGTTGAAATCTGGGGGGCCTCAGCACCTCAAAAAGTCGGGCCATTTACCTTTATAGAGTGGAGTCTCTCTGGACCTGTTTGCAATATCAGGCTCAGCCCCAGCTTGCAGCAAAAGAAGCAGACAGTCCAGGTTTCCCCTGTTCGTGGCTATGTACAGTGCTGTCTCTTCCTGAAGCGTACGCTGATCAGTGGTTCCAGGGTATGCTAATGAGATATCATTGTTCCATTGTTAGTAAGGCATATAGAATATGTTGTCTAACTCTGAGGCTGTCAACACTCTTGCTAATCATTTTGGGCCAGGGAAGATCTAGGTGTACTTGGTCCTATTACAGTGTGAAGAAGACAGTCTAGATGACTTGAGGTCCCTTCCAGCCCCATATTCCTATGATTATTTCAAACATGAAACACCAAATGCTAAGAATTACCCAAGGACTGTCTGAAAAACTCTCTGATAAGAAGCATTTTTAAAAAGAGGACAATACATATTGCTCCAGATAGTAACGCTGCTGTAACCAATGCATTAGAAATCAATGCTGCTGTAAAATTGCACCAGTGAGTTTGCTGACACACTGAAGTGCTTTTATCTACACTGCTGGCCTAAATCTAGACAGTTGTAGCAATACATGCTGGCTAACACTCAGCCTAAGAGGTGATGCATTACCAGGTTATCAATAAGAGACACTTTATCACACTGATGGAGAAATTAGCCAGCATGGAGCTCAAGCAGAACACAACAATCAAGCCCTGTGAAGTGCAGATCACGTACAGATGAGGATTCAAAGTTCAGGACTTAGGACTGCCTGTGTCATGGGATAAAGTGAAACACCAAATCCAAACACCCCTGAACTTTGAGGGTTTGGCCATGGAGCCAAATCTGGATGCAATGCCATGACTCTGATCCACCTCAGCAATTAAAGAGGGCAGAGATTATGGGCTAGACCAAGCATCCACAGCCTTTTCAAACCACAGAGCCAAACTACCTCAAAATTCAGAACAAGTGGTCAACAAAGAGCCATGTAAGAAAGTCCATTTGTAAGACTGAAAATATACAACTTAATATTATTGATAATTGACATAATGATTAACAATAGCATAAATGAAATGTACTCACAGACTTTACTTAATGAGACTTCTGCTGCTGCATCTTTTCACACATTTCTTTGAAGTTTACATCATAACTGGTCAAATCCAGCTTCATGCATGTACTCAGGATGTCTTCTGTCAATCTTATGGCAGGGGATGTGGGGGCACAAGAGTCAGGGTTGGAGTGCATGAGGGGCTCATGGAGGGGGGTTGAGGTCTGTGATGGACTCAGGGCACAATGTTGGGGTGTGGGGCATGCAGGAGTATTATTGCAGGGTGCTGGGGATGTGGAAGTGCAGGAGTCTGAAGATGTCGGGGTTAGAGGGGCTCATGGCAGGGGGTTCAGGTGTATGATGGGGTCAGGATTGGGGTGTGGAGGGGGCAGGAGTGTTATGATGCTGTGGCCAGATGGCGGCTGGGCCCCAATTGGGGGGTTGTTGGCCAGGCTTAATTTTTAAAGAAAGTAAAATATTATGCCCAACACAAAAGGTTTCAACATTGTCTTTATTTATGGTGGGGGGGGGGAACCTTTTTGGGGTCAGGGACCATGGAGTTTGGGTGAAGGAGGCAATTGTGATCCAAGGTACAGGACTGGGGTACACTTGTGACCCACGGCAGGGGTTTGGGTAGTGACCTAAGGCAGGGGAGGATTGTGATCTCAGGCAGAGGGTTGGGGTGCAGTGTGTGGGAGGGGGTATGGGCTCAGGAGGGTTTGAGTTATGTGGAGGAGGGGGGTAAGAGTGTAGGGGCAGAGAGCCATGGGGGAGGGAGAGGCACCCAAAGCAGTGTTCCTACTGACAATGGGTGTGCAGCATGCCCTTTGCTTTGACATCCAGGAGCATGGTGTTTGGATCCATGTGTTCTGATACCAAAAACCTATGCATTACATTTTATTTTCTGAATCACTTTAACCCTTTTAAATCGTTCAGTGTCCCCTCACCTCATATAAAGAAAGCCATGGTAGGTTGAGAAACTCCTGTAGATTGACTATAAAATAGGTTACAGAAAAATAGGTTGGCCACTAACTTAGGTTAAAATGTCCCAAATGTAGATTGACTACAGCTATTGGTGATTCAAAAAGCAATTGAGTATCTGCTCTCCAATGGGAACTTGAACCCAACAGCCCCATTATTAACTACAGTATTAGAAA